AATAATAATATCGCCATTAAAAAAATTTTAGCTTTTTGTAAGAGATTAAAAATTAAAATTAGCAATATACAATTTCCTTACTTAATTATCAGTCCTAAATTTCATAAAATTCCTGTAAAATTTAGAACTATCACAGGTGGATCTAATTCTTATCTAACTAAACCTGGCACCATTTTACCTAACTACTTAAATAAAATTATTAACAATATTTCTAAAGAAGGTTTCTCTTGGATTATCACTAATAATCAACCGATTTTAGATTTCATTAAACATAATAAAATTAATACTATTGCGACTTTTGATTTCCAGGACCTTTTCAATAGCACTCCCCTTTCTAAACTAAAAGCTGTCCTTTTGAATTATTACTATGATTTTAAAAATATCCTTTGTTGCGATTTTGATTATTGAGAAATTCTGATTAATTTTTGTCTTTTTAGTAATTATCTTTACAATGGAAGGGATATCTTTCTTCAAATTAATGGAATACCACAGGGATCTAATTATTCATCTCTCTTAGCTAACTTATTTTTGCATTATTATGAAAAAAATTTTACTCTGAGTATTAAATTTGTTTTTAGATATATTGATGACTTAATTATCTTTAATTTCCAAGATTTTACTGTTTTATTGAGTGATATATACCCTGAGGAATTAATCTTACTTCGTAATCATGATGATAATATTAATTTCAATTTTTTGGATTTGGGTATTATGAAAGTTGAAAATATCTGCTTTGTTGATTTATACGATAAAAGAAATGATTTTAATTTTAATATTAATAAACTAGTTACTTGGAATTCTAATGTTTCTAGGAGCATCTATTTAAATACCACTTTTAATGAAATGAACAGAATTAAAAGAATATGTAGTAATATTTATTTATCCAAAAAACAAATCGATAAACTCTTTCAAAATCTGATAAAAAACAATGGATACCCAACTAATGTAATAAAATTTTATATAAAATCATTGAATTAATCGTATATTTTTGTGGATATATTTACTAAACATTTTCCTTGTTAATTTATATAATTTTCCCATGTGAAAATTCATTTCGGGTAAATCCGTTGCCAAAATTATTTACTAAATAATTTCTTTGTTAATTTGTATAATTTTTCCATGTGCAAATCCATTTCGGGCAAAGCCATGGTCAAAATTATTTACTAAAAATTTCCTTTACTGAAAAATTTCCTTTGTTAATTTTTATAATTTTTCCATGTGCAAATCCGTGGGTAAAATTATTTACTAAAAATTTCTTTATTAATTTTATAATTTTTCCTTGTGCAAATCCATTTCAGGCAAATCCGTGTTAAAATTATCTACTAAAAAATTTTTTTCTTTGATAATTTATATAATTTTTCCATGTGCAAATCCATTTCGGGCAAATCCATGGCTAAAATTATTTGCAAAACAGGTAATTTATGTTTCTCTTTTTCATTTTCTGTTTTTTCTTAAATAAATATTTATTTTCTAAAATTATTTATGGTCAACTTTTTTAAATTATCCAGTATAATATTACTTTGCGCACATGCGGCCCATCCTTGGTAACTAACAAATCAATACACAGCATAACAAATCTCTTCAGCAGTGCAGTGAGAACGGCACTTTAAAACAAAACTCCTCTAGTTACACTCAATTTGCGCTTTTGTTTTCATGTTTTGTAATGTGGCGGTCTTGTTGCGAAAATATTTTTAAATCATTCTTGAGGGATTTCCCGTTCATGTAAGTACATCTGATTTCGCTACTCGCTTCATAGATTTTGCTTTATACTGTTTTTTCCTTTTATTTTACTTTATTTTCTGTTTTTAAGTGTTATTTTTACTTATTGTGTTCTATTTTATTTGTTGTGATTTTTGTAAAAAAAATTTTTTTGAGTGCTCCTCACAGAATTGTATTAATATATTTTGCTTTGGCTATACTGATACAATATCAGAAAGCACTCTTTTTTTCCGGATATGGTCCTGTGGGCTGATGAAGGGATTGTATCTGTTATTTTCCAGATTTTTTTAAAAAAATTTATCCTTTTTTTCCCAGTTGTTTGTTATTTTTTTTTCATTATTATCCTCCCCCCCTTTTTTTTCTTCATATGTCTATAATTTTCCTTTGTTTTATCTTCATTTTGAACTTATCTAATGAGTTCTATTTACTTGTAGCTTATGCGCAATAAATGAAACTTATTGTTTTTCTTAACTTTCTTCGTGTTTTCTTGTATCTTGTATATATATATACTATAAATATTTTAACTAAGCTATCTTATATCCATACTTCCACACTTATGATTGCGGCAACTATCAAAGTTTATTCGAGTATCGAGTTGAACATCCCTTCAAAGTTTTTTTTCTTCCTTTCTTTCTCTTTTTAGTAAAATTTTGGCTGCAACAGAGTGCATTTCTTTCCCGTCCTTATGGGTTAGGTAGAACAGAGTGTAATTCTGTAATTGTCATATTTTACTCGTAAGTTGAAGAAATTTCTCTGCCACTATCGCTGAATTCCAGATTCTGATTCAGCCCATTCTTCAACATATTCTTTGAACGCAGCATACTCCACTTTTATATACTTTTAATATTTTTGAATATACAATCGTCAAGTAAAAATATTTAAGAGGGATGGTCAGGTATAAACTAGCTAAATAAAGGATTCTTAGACTTCAGAATGAAAAAAAGCGGATATTTGACTTTAATGCGGACAATATCGCAAAATTATGCGGGTTTTCACATCTTAGTAGAATTTATAGGGCCTTAGGAATAAGGTTTATTCTTCTCTTTTCTTAAAATATACCCGTTAATAGCCAAACATTTAAAAAGAGAGATTTTATTGATCTAACCAAATAATGTTTAAATAATGTGGATTGTTTGAAATTAAATAACAATAAAATGATATTCTATTTGATTTTAAACGTTTAAGGAGACCTTTTTTAAAAATAAAAAATCTTATTTTTCCTAATTACGATTAATCACCAGTCCAAATGATTTTTTTTCTATTCGTTTGTTGAGGTTGAACTTATTTAGAAAGGAACACAACGCATTATTCACCTATGACTAAGGAGAGGGGCAAATTTCATTGGACAAATAAATAAAATAAAGAAATAAAGATGATAAATAAAATGTGTATTAAAACTTCAACGTTAGTATTCAAGTGTCTCGAAACAAATATTAATGTCATGAATCGGAGATTCATTGGAAATTCGTGCCATTAATCAAATATTGATGTCATGAATTCCCTTTATTACAAACTGCAACTAACCAACATGGAGACCGATTAGCTTAAATGTTGTAATCAGACGTTTGCGTGCAAATCTGTAACACCTATCTACCCAGCTGCAAATCTGTAATAGCAGGGTTTTTTTTTGGAAGCTGAAAGGTTAGTGTAGGTAAAATAAAATAGTTCGACAATAATTGTATTTCTCTAAACATTTGTATATCACAACTTAACTCGCCGTAACTCTTCTTTTTGAAATTGTATCTGTTTTCATGGGCTTTGGACAAATTCTGGTACTTTTCATCATCACAATATGTTTGTTTCCCTTGAGTATTGAGTATTCGCGATCGCAACGCTCGAGTACGCCGTCTAGCGGGAGCCTGTAAATATCGGACATTAACTTAATACAATCACATTTTCTGCCATNTCGCTTAAAGCACTGCGTTTCAGTAGGTAAGGCTTAATTTAGCCTAACAAGATTTATTTGAGCTCTGAGGCTCTTCTTCAAATTCACCCAGATCTCTCTTGTTCCCCTTTTTCAATGTTTTTTTTTTTTTTAATTGATGTCTCGCCTATTAAGTTTGAACACTCAAACTCCTAAATTCTATTTTTTGAGTAATTACTATTGTTAATTTTAATATTTCACTAAATTCTTTGAGGCCTTCTGGTGTTGCCATGGATCGCCACCAAGCCTACCTTTTTGAATCCTCTTTTTCTTTTGCTGAGAGGTCACGTACGCGCACTTACAGTCTACAGTATTCTCCGGACGGATACTGTACACTATAATGCTGCTAATATATTATTAATCCCTCTTTCTGTTGCAAACTGAACGTCTACTCGCTTATGTTATTGTATATGCTATTTATGTACTATGGAATTATCAGTAACAGTTTTTTAAAAAAAAATCAAGTAAAAGAAATTACACTGTTCGTTAGGAATTCAAACGGGCTCTAAGTCAATTGTCTTTGTCTTTTCTCTTCCCTTGAACATCATATGATGTTGCCTTGATCATTCGAAGTAAATTTTATATCTATTAACGCAAAATTGAATTCTCATTCTGGTTGGATAGTTATTGGATTTTTCGAAGGCAGTGAAAGGACTAATTTCTGCAATGCCTCCAATGTTTCTCTTGTGTTTATTAACTATAATAAGCACTTAAAAAGGATTGAAATTTTTAAGCAAAGTCCTTTGTTTAAAGAAAACCTTTTAAAATCCGCTCAAAATTAAACCTTAACCTTGACTACCACCAAAACAAAACAATTCGTTCCTTCATGAACACTTGTTTTCTCCAAACACGGTTTCTTAAATATTGTTTTTACAAACTGTAATGGAGAACTATTTTCTTAATTTTAAACAATACAGGAGAAACAAAAACTTGTAATAATAATAATAATATCTTTTATGTTTAGGGAAATCTCTTATGGTTATATTCTATAGAGGATAGATAAAACATTTTCTTTACAGCCAACTTATTTTTTATTGTTTATTTAAAAACATACTAAAGTATTAAATATGAATAAAAATGATAGTTTTTGTTCCACTTTGTAGGTGAGGTGATGGTGTGCTTTCTTATCCACCAATCACAATCTAGTATATTCCTGTTCAAAATGCGCTTGTTTTTTATCAGCATATTTCGATTAATATCAAAATAATTTATTCTAATGAAAATCCAACGTTCTAAAAAAAATTCTTGAGCAAATATGTAAATTTCAAAGCAAGAAATTTCGTTTAATTTTTTTTTTCTTCACTGTTTTTTTAAAAAAAAAATAATCCGAGAAACGGTTCGACTTTTACTCGAAGACTAGTTTCTGACGGATGGGAGCGCATGCGCATATGACGCGAGGTATATGCCCTGAACGAAAACAAACAGTACGCCAAGAATACGGGATTATATTGAATGGAGTTTTAATTTATTGTGAATGTTACCGGTGGTTTAACACAACGATTGGAATATAGGAGTCATCTGGGAATATGAAGCGGCGAAATGCCGATTGTGGAAAAATTAGAAGGCCAGTGAAAAGAACTAAAATTGCAGAGGGCTTGTATGGAAGGTAAGCATCATCTTGTAGGCCTAGCCGTCTATATGACAAATTTTAAAGCATTTCTTTGGCGCGTTTTCATGTCAATATGGATTACATTGTTCTAGATACTATTTAAATCTTTTAAAGTGTTTCTATTTTTTAAATTTTCACTGCAAGCCTTATATAGAGGTGTATACTTTGTATGACACTTATTAACCTGATCAAATTTAAATGTCCTGTCACTTCGGCAAACGGCCACATGTTGAGCTGTCATTATTTGCACTGCAACAAAATGCTTTTATTTGTTAAAAACCGAGATTAAACGATAGTTAATGTAATAAACACACATGCCAATTATATTTTATATTGTGATTGTCAAAGTTTCATCAAATTGCATTACTTATTCAATGCTGTAGAATTTTGAACTTTTATAAAATTTTATTTTAGGTTTTTAAACTTAGTTAAGTTTTTCTCCTTCAAAAATTGTTTTATTCGGTAATAAAATTTTTAAAATTATTATTACGATTTTTAAAAAATAGCTTTAATTATGGTGTAGAGTTGAATTTATTGAGCAGTGTATACCTATTAGTTGTATAAAAAAAAATGTTTGTCACTTTCATATATTTGTTTTTCTTGCACTCTAACAGTAAGTTTGGAATTATATATCGAATAAAATGAAAATGCTATCTTTTAATAAATTTTTATTTAGAAGATTACTGCTTTATTTGCCATGTATTTTAAACAAAGATTAGCACATGATGACAAAGTTGCAGTATAAATGATTGTTATGGAATCAATATTTAGGATATTAATTTATGTGATAGTCAAAATATTCTTGTTTAAAATTTAAAAAAAATTTTGAGGATTAAAAATTATTTTTTACATTTATACTTAAATGTTTGCATTGCATTAATAAATATTAATAAAAAACAATATTGTTTTTTATTTTTTAAATATTTTACAGAATTGACCAATTTTCACTCACTTTTTCTTTACCTTGCATTCCAAAATTGTTATGCCAATTGCTATTGTTAGAGTGTTAGTTAAGTAATAGTCTAAATTTTATTATTTAAGTTTGCTTAACTTAGTTTGTGACAAGGTTTGTGTTATTTTAACNGAAAGCGAAATTATTGCCTTTTTAGAATAATAATGCCCTTTTTTTAAACTTTTGCACCCTGCCCTTTTTTCTGCCTAGAATGAGCTCTGCTTAAGCAACCAATTTTAGAGCTACATTATCATAAATTTTGACATGTTTTGTGCAATTTGTAAACCTATTAATGAGTGATGCATAAATGAAAACGAGTGAAGTATTTTTCGGTAATTGAAAAGGTTCAATCAGTTGCTTAAATTTAAATGTTTGGGATGAAGGCTTTTGCTATTTATGTTAACAATCAATACAGTCTTAAAAATTTATTGAATAATCTTATTTGTTACGAAAAGTGCTTTAAAAGTGTAGATTGATTATAGACTGCCTAAGTGTAGATTATTTGTTATTTTTTCATTGAATTGAAAATTAAAAAAAGAAAATGCTGGATGGAACATTATGAAACATATAGGTGCCATATAAATGGACAATAGTTGACAATAAATATAGGTGAATTTATTGCAAACCGAGTTGGCAAGTCTTTTTTGACAGAATAGATTAATCCACGGTTTAAACCGTCCTGTCCAAAACTGTTTTAAACTGCCCAAAACCTTTTTATTCAAATTATGTCACTATTTTAAAAAATAATTGAAAAATAAAAGGCTGATTTTTTTTTTTTTGAGCTAGAAATAAACTGAAGACAAGTTTTTGTTTTATCAAAAAGTTGTTTATTATTTTTAATATTGTATTATTTATCCTTATTCAAAAACATAATTTATTAGTATTAAAAGCATATTTATTCATATTTAAAGGCATTCACTGTTGTTGTTCGATAAATTGTGGAGCTTCAAAAGTTATAAATATTTTCCTTTAATAAATGAAAGCAAATGAAATAAAAAGTATCAAATATTTATTAATATATGTGATATGTACAATGGTTATATATATATATAATTTTTACTTTTTACCAATGTTCAAGGTTTTGGACAGTTTAAGACAGTAAAATTCTTGTTCTGTCCTGTCCAAAACCCCAATCCTGATTGAAAAAGAATAAGTTCAGTTGTTTGGATTTTGTGATAAAATTTCTTTGCCTTTATCCTTTCTATTCATTGATTATATACATCTGTCATCATCTATTGGTTCTTAAAATTTTCATTCTAGTGTGTGCCAGTATTTATACTTATTCAAAGAATTAGTTGGAAATGAAAGCAATTGAATTAGGCAAAAATTCATAAATGAAATTTTAGAGAAGAAAGTGAAATTTTAGATTTTTTCCAAGTTTTATTTTCTAATCATTTGTTACTTATCTTTATTATTATTTTTCTAGAGTTTTATTTTATGTGTAATTTTTTAAAATTTTCTAATTTGTAATTTTTTTAAATTTAAAATGTATTTTTTTTTTTTTTTTAAAAATTTAGTTTAAAAAGTAATTTAAACTCTAAAAAAAAGTAACATGAATTAAAAAAATCATTGAATAGAATTTTTTTTAAAAAAAAAGCCAGTTTAAATTATGAGGAACATTAAACAATTGTGAATGTATTTTTTTTTTTATTGACAAATGTTTAGAAATATATCGTTTTTTGAGCATTTTGAATATGTCTCTGGATTTGTGTAATGGGCTATGTAAGGTGTTTATCTTCTTTAGTTAAATATAAGTAGGGTAATACTGGGAGAATCGGGAAAACCTGGATAATACAGGGGGGGGGGGGAAATCACCCAAAATAACAAGGAGAATACTGGGAATTTTGAATTTTTCTTTACAAATTGGCAGGGAATTTTGTTTCTTATTTTTATCTTTTAAAAAAATGGTGATAACTCAAAGTGCAATCTATGGGATATTTCAACTATGCTCAACTATTTAATTTACTATGGCATCATTTTCCAGCAATTAAAAATAGTATTGTTAGCCCAATATAGCTCACACAAGAGCACAGTAATTGTGTTTCCTCTCAATATATTGTGTATTTAATGTGTACAGGGAAAACACAGGGAATTTTTTTTCTCCAGATTTGAGTGGCTACCCTGTTATAGTCTATTGATTTGGAGAATAGAATTCTATATCTAATACCATGCAACAAAACTTGATAATTGCAATTGTTCTGTAGATATCATCAAAAATAAACAAATCTAATTAATTAAATTATAACCTATGTTGCAAAAAGTTTATTAATTTTACTATACAAATTTAAAATTTTGCATAAAATTATTCAACTTCCATCTAAATATGCAGTGGTATTGCAAGAGGCGACATCTGTGCTTAAGCGGAGCTAGTCTTATTGTTCAATTATTCTAAATCATAATCATTCTAAGTGTAACAAAACTGCAATAGTTATATACTGAGCCGTGATGGCTCAGAGGATATAGCGTTCGCCTTCTAATGAGGTGAACCGGGTTCGAATTCCAGTGATGGCTGGTAAATACGAATCCGCATTGGGCTTGCACCGACCACAGTGAAATATCCCCAGTGGTTGACATGGGTTAGAGTCCCTTTGCCGTCAGGCTAACCGTGGGAGGTTCCTCTCCATATAACGCTACTGCGGGTTAGTTCCATCTAAAAGTTCTCCACGAAGGCAAATTTGTTCCAGAAGTTCATTTTCTGTATTGGATTCAAAATTACAAGGCTGCAGAGTTGAATATTAGTCGTAAACATAAAAAATTGGGTCGGCTGTTCAACGAAGGTTATAAATTTTTTTAAAAAAAATAACGTCAGGCACTGAACTTTTTCCTTCTTCGCCATAGAAGATGCCGAAATTGTTACTCATTTAGCGTTACCCAGTGGGCACCTGTGGACCAAAGTCACGGAGGCGAGCAACGTTACCCACGCCATACTGCCACAAACCCGTTCATAGGGTGGGCCACATTCACTCATTCGCACAACAAAAGACAACACAGAGAGAGAAGCATCCATGCCCAGAGCGGGATTCAAACCCGCGACCATTGGCTCCGCAGTCAGACAGGCTAGCCACTCGGCCACCTGGCCGGCTGGTTATAAAATAAAATAGTTATATACTGTTAAATTATCAGCCAAATTGAATGGAAATTTTTTAAATTATATGTTATGTTAAAATTATCATGTTATTATTTTACAAAACATTGTTAAATGTTTATAAAATTTTATTTAATTTATATTTTAAATACAAAATCTAGTTTTTAAAATGGTCCTAAAAACTTTTAAATTAGCTTGTCACAGTATTTAAATGGGAAGTGGAAATTTGACCTGATTCTTGGGTGATGTAAACCTTGGCTACCATAGTTAAGGAAACTTCGTTAAGTTTTTAATTTAGTTAAGTTTTCAATTATGTATGGTAAAATTTGAGCATGATAAATTGTCATTGTAACTTGGACGTAAATTGTTCTGTAGAAAAATAGGTTTAAATAGTCTTGCAAAGACATTGGTTGTTCTGTCTATATATATATTTTTTGCTTTAGGGTATCTGACCTTGTTTTTTTTTTAGTGATTTATTTCGTGTTACGACACAAAAAATTCAATTATGAGTTCAGATTTGACTTTGGCAAAGACTTTTTTTAATTTGGTTAATACTTTTGTTATTTGGCTATTTTATTGAGTAATAATTTGAAATCCTTAGTGCGGGACCTGTTACTTATATTAGTACATATAATTGCTATCTTTATTTTTTAATAAATCTTGAACTACATTTATTTTAAAGGTTTTAGTTTAAGAGAATTTTCTTAAATAATGTCAAAAAATATAAATTTTTTGACATCTTAAGTTATAGTGCTTATATATTTTAAATTTATTATTTTAGCATTTTTCAAAGTTTATGAAGATCAGTGGTTATGTTGGTTTGCATTATAAAAATGTTTGTTCAAAGAAAATTGTTCTTGTGAAAGGAAAAATTAAAAATAGGTTTAAAAAGATTTATTCCTATTTTACAAATGACTATTTTCAATGTTAACATTCATCCACTTTTCTCTCCAATCCTAT